CCCACCCAATCAGGAGCCACCTGAAACAAAAGCCCCAACTCCCTCTGACCAGGGCAGCCCAGAGAGCTCGTTAGCAGCAGCCCCACCTAGCTAGAACTTCCCAGGAGAAGTTAAGTCAAGGTCCCCTGCAGGAGTCCTTGCCCAGCTCTCCCTTCCTGCTAGCAGCAAGCACCGTCTAGTTCCTCGGGGGTCCCCAGAAAGTCTCCACAACTTCCAACAAGGCCCACAAAAGGCCCAGGCAGAGCCCAGACACTGCTGCGCAAACTGCTGCGTCTGTTCGCTGCCTCTGTTGGCTGCGCTCTGGGAGCTGCGCTCTAGGCCTGGCTCTTATATAGGCCTCTGCCTAGCAGTGACTCACAAGGGTGCTTGACCCACCCAATCAGGAGCCACCTGAAACAAAAGCCCCAACTCCCTCTGACCAGGGCAGCCCAGAGAGCTCGTTAGCAGCAGCCCCACCTAGCTAGAACTTCCCAGGAGAAGTTAAGTCAAGGTCCCCTGCAGGAGTCCTTGCCCAGCTCTCCCTTCCTGCTAGCAGCAAGCACCGTCTAGTTCCTCGGGGGTCCCCAGAAAGTCTCCACAACTTCCAACAAGGCCCACAAAAGGCCCAGGCAGAGCCCAGACACTGCTGCGCAAACTGCTGCGTCTGTTCGCTGCCTCTGTTGGCTGCGCTCTGGGAGCTGCGCTCTAGGCCTGGCTCTTATATAGGCCTCTGCCTAGCAGTGACTCACAAGGGTGCTTGACCCACCCAATCAGGAGCCACCTGAAACAAAAGCCCCAACTCCCTCTGACCAGGGCAGCCCAGAGAGCTCGTTAGCAGCAGCCCCACCTAGCTAGAACTTCCCAGGAGAAGTTAAGTCAAGGTCCCCTGCAGGAGTCCTTGCCCAGCTCTCCCTTCCTGCTAGCAGCAAGCACCGTCTAGTTCCTCGGGGGTCCCCAGAAAGTCTCCACAACTTCCAACAAGGCCCACAAAAGGCCCAGGCAGAGCCCAGACACTGCTGCGCAAACTGCTGCGTCTGTTCGCTGCCTCTGTTGGCTGCGCTCTGGGAGCTGCGCTCTAGGCCTGGCTCTTATATAGGCCTCTGCCTAGCAGTGACTCACAAGGGTGCTTGACCCACCCAATCAGGAGCCACCTGAAACAAAAGCCCCAACTCCCTCTGACCAGGGCAGCCCAGAGAGCTCGTTAGCAGCAGCCCCACCTAGCTAGAACTTCCCAGGAGAAGTTAAGTCAAGGTCCCCTGCAGGAGTCCTTGCCCAGCTCTCCCTTCCTGCTAGCAGCAAGCACCGTCTAGTTCCTCGGGGGTCCCCAGAAAGTCTCCACAACTTCCAACAAGGCCCACAAAAGGCCCAGGCAGAGCCCAGACACTGCTGCGCAAACTGCTGCGTCTGTTCGCTGCCTCTGTTGGCTGCGCTCTGGGAGCTGCGCTCTAGGCCTGGCTCTTATATAGGCCTCTGCCTAGCAGTGACTCACAAGGGTGCTTGACCCACCCAATCAGGAGCCACCTGAAACAAAAGCCCCAACTCCCTCTGACCAGGGCAGCCCAGAGAGCTCGTTAGCAGCAGCCCCACCTAGCTAGGACTTCCCAGGAGAAGTTAAGTCAAGGCCCCCTGCAGGAGTCCTTGCCTAGCTCTCCCTTCCTGCTAGCAGCAAGCACCGTCTAGTTCCTCGGGGGTCCCCAGAAAGCCTCCACAACTTCCAACAAGGTCCACAAAAGGCCCAGGCAGAGCCCAGGCACTGCTGCGCAAACTGCTGCATCTGTTTGCTGCCTCTGTTGGCTGCTCTCTCATTTATTATTGATGATTATTATTAATCAATGTTATATATTATATATCATATATTGTTATAAATCATTAAATTAATGATTTCCTATGTCCTATACAAATTTCCCCCCATCCCCCACTGTTTTTATCATACTTTCTTCTGAGGTTAGGAGCAAAAAAAGAATTAGCATGTTACCACGATACATGTGTTACAACATTGTAATTCATATTCCGTGGTGTGCAGCTGCCCACCTATTTTGCTATGCAAATATAGTTCACTTGATTTGGAAAACTGCTTCTAAAAAGAACATTCATTGATAAATTTTTGGAGTTTGTGGGAATTAGCATTATACAAACACCTTCATGATGTTTTATTTCTTTTCTTAGCTATAATTTTTTACAGCATATGTATGTGTATATATTTCCTTTTTGTTCAGTGGTGTTTGTCTTCCTAGTGACTGACTATGTAAAAAGACCTTTTCTAATTTGTTTTATACCTATTTAACTCTATGCACTGCCCATTGATCTTTGCACACTGGCAGTTATTTTATCTAGAACAGATGAATAACTTTTTTCCCCTATAACTCTGCGTAAACAACAGTGCTCTTTTGTCTTCTATGACTTGTTATTGAGTGCCTCAAAGATTAAATTAGTTGTGTATGTTGCACCCTGATAGCAGCTGAACCTAGTGTAAGAGGAGAATGTTCCTGTAAGTCCATATTTTTTCAGATGAGTGACCTGAGTGTACAGAAGTTATGCTGTTTTAAAAGGAAGTATTTGTCTTCCTATGAAGTGTTATTTTTCGTACTGTTTTAGCACATCAAGTAACAGTGATGTTCATGACCAAATAGTTGAATAGATTGAATTTGTGTAGCAAGTGGGATTTATTTCCTCAAGTCTTAGAGCCTTATTTGTAGGGTCTTCTGAGGCTGTATTTCAGTTATATGAAACAAAGTATGGGAATTGTTTGATTTTTTTGTTGTTGTTTTTAATCTAATTATATATGATTTCCACATACATTTCTGATTTTGATGAGTGGGGCTTATCTGGCAATTTAATTTTAGTTAAGAAAGCTTTTTTTACAGCCTGTGTCATTTGTTATTCTCCAAGAAACTGGGATGATAAAGGCTGTATTTGATGTGGTATTAGTAAGTGAACATAATCCATGCTTTGTTCTTATGGGTTATGCTAATTTGGTAATGTCAGTTGAAGTTTCATTTGCCTTTTGAATTCATTGATAATTTTTCCATGTCTTGTGACTGAATCTGACCAAGGTGATTTTGAAGCTCCCTATTATTTAAAAATTGAGATTCTCTCTTTCTGTCATTTAGTGATATTTATTCTACGTATGATTTAATTATGATGAAGGGAATGTTTTTCTGCATTTTTGCTTTGCTTAATATAGCATATTGCATGTTTGCTGTACTTCACAATACTTTTATGCTGTCCTCTAATCAATATCATGGTGCATTTTTAAGCACTTTTTCCTATTTACAGTACTCTAACATTAGTGGACTGGGATTTTTTATTTCTATTTTTAAAGATCTCTTTCTCCTATCATTGCATGTGTTGTGGCAAATGAAATAAAAGTGTAGATTCGACTTGCTGCCTGGAGGCACGGAAGCAAGCAACTATGTTTGGCATTTTGCTCTAGTTTTAACTCCCCCTGCTGGTTCTCAGTCTTCTCCCTTTGCATGGTTAGATGCTAGGGCATAATGCAAGACTTATTTATATACCTTAACTTTTTTCCTCTTAGGATACTTGCTATGATTTGGGCTGGTAACACTGCCTTTAGGATGAAAATGACCCCCCCCCCAAACTTTCTGATAAAGTATAATCATTTAATATATCTTGCATAAAAATGGATACACAGTAGTAGACAGCTGTTACCTTTTTTGAATATAAATGAAGATCTAGTCATGAGAATAAACAGGTTGCATGGATTTCCTTCTCAAGATCATCCTAAAGTCAGGTAGAAATCACATCAGATCTAAAAAAAAGTTATTATACAAAACTACTGAAACTCGAGCTCTGCCTACAACAGCAAAGAACTTTCAATAGCTTGGATAAAATTGTCTTTGTGACTGTCAGGGAGCTGTGGTGGCAAGGTAGCACTGAACGTTTTACTATCCATCCTGAAGAAGACAGCAAATCACTTGCTCTGTTCATGTTTACTTATCCTCATAATTATAACAGCTAGATTGTTTCTCCTCAAATTGATTATGCTTATTTGATAATATATTACTGGTGGGCAACTGGGCTTTTGTTCAGCCTTACAGTCTGTGAAGGCTATTGTGAATGCTATTTCAGGCTATTCAGTGAAATACCATGGGTTGTTACAGTGCGGCTCTTGAAGAGAAGCCTATCTTTGATGTAGTGGTTTTGTTTTAGGATGCTGTCAAAATAGTCATTGCCAGCATTGTTGTAGCATATGGAGCTTCATTCTGAAAAACACTGAGCAGATTGGCATATTCTAGCAAAGCATTTGGGTTATAATATAAAAATACAACTTCATTGCCAAAAGTCCTGAAAAATATAAAAATAAAGCTCTTAGTATTAGAAAGTTGAGCAGTAAAAGCAGAATCTGTGTCCTCTTTGTGTCCACCTGGACAATTTGCATGTTATTAGAGTACCTTTTATAGGAAAAGAGGGGGAGGAAAAAGAGATTGAGAATGTAGGTCTTCTATTCTAACTGTTCCAAAACTAAGTACGTATGTAGATCTTTTTGGAGCTTGAGTAGCTGTCTGGGAGGGTTGTATTAGGGGTACCTCTCTCCACTTGAAATCTAGTCAAAAGCCTATTGCAGGGATTGATATTTGTCTGAAGAGGGCAAACTCTGTGAGGAAGAAAAGATTTTTTTCTTAAACATAGCTGTCCAGAAGTTAATTTGCAAGACTGCCTGCAAGGATTCAAGCCAGCATATCTCTTTCGAGTGGGAATCCTGACTTGTTCTTCACCTTTTAAAATCCATAATCTTTCTGTATACAGCTATTAGAGGTGCTTAAGGCAAAATGTGTAAGTGGTTCCACCGACTTGTGATTCAAACTATTTTTTTTTCAAGTGTCTACCACTCAAGCATGCACTTCCCTCCCTCTTCTTTTTAAAGTTGGGACCATACTGCAAGGGTCTGATTGGTATTAAAGGAATGTCTCTATCCTGCTTGTTCCATCGTTCTAACCTCTACTGTAAGTGGAGAGGTCAGAATTCATACTATTAACATGCTGTTGTCACTTGTAGGATAATCATGGGTCAAACCGGAAAAAAATCTGAGAAAGGACCAATTTGTTGGCGAAAACGTGTGAAATCAGAATATATGAGACTGAGGCAGCTCAAGAGGTTCCGACGTGCAGATGAAGTAAAGGTATGCCATCTTTTGGTTCTTTTGTTTAAAAACTGTTATCAAAATTGATTTTCTTCTGAAATGTGGGTTGGTGTGACTCTCAAAGTTGTCTTGCAGTTAGCACCGACAATAACATTTTCATGAAATATTTTGTTAATGAACTGAAAACTGATTTTAATTCTGTGACCTTATAAGCAGGTGTGATAGCTAACATTACATTTGTATCTAATTTAATCAGAGATGCTGAATGTAAGCAGAGATTCTAGAGAGTAAGTATGGCTTTTCCTTTAGCATGGAATTACTTTCCAAATGGAACTAGAAAGAATATGTGGCTAAACTTGTAAGTCTCTAAACATGGAAACATATTTAGAGTCAGAGAAAGGGATAATGAAAGACAAAGAGCCTGACTGGCATTTAAACAAAACTAGGATGGTTCAGTTTTGAGCACGTTTCTTTCATCTTCTCCATTCGTGCTTAGCTTTTCAGTATATGTTATGATGCTTTAAGAGATTAGCAGGTGAGTTCAAAGCCTTGATTTATATGTAATGGTTAACATTTGTGTTTAATTTTTAGAGTATGTTTAATTCTAATCGTCAGAAGATACTGGAAAGAACTGAGATCTTAAATCAAGAATGGAAACTACGTAGGATACAGCCTGTACACATCATGACTTCTGTGAGCTCATTGCGCGGGACCAGGGAGGTTGGTTAACATGTGTTGTGGTAATTCCAGTTACAAGGTTGTCGGCACATTTTTGTTTTATTTCTGGAAAGTTGGCTGTTTGTTTGTTTGTTTGTTTTTATTGGTTTGTTTTCAGTGTTACATGACTTGGCAGCTAAATATTTTTCTTATGAGTCTCTTAAAGGAATTATTTATTATTTACATCCATCAGTTGACTTCTGGAAAGTAATAAATAAATAGCAGCCTATCTAGCTTTGAACTACATGCAGAACTGAAACAGCATCTTTACTCCTGAAAATATTAGATTATTGCTAAGTATCCTTTAGTCAAATCTCTTTGTCTCAGAAGTATTTAGTGCAAATGAGGAGATAGTCTGGCTGCTATTGAGTTAAAGCACATGAAAGTTGTGAACATAACCATTTGACTAAGCCATCTTTATACTGATTGGTTATTTACCCACATAAATTCTAAAAAGAGTTAATTAGGTTGGTGCCCCCCTCCATGTTGCACGTTCAAATTAGACACTAGAGTGGTGAAAAATCAGTTCCAATATGGCAATGCAGTTTGAGCACCTAAACTGGCTTTTGTATAAGTAGCTTGAATGGTGGTTGAAGTCCATCCTAACTCTATGCTTTCAGCTTGCGTTAACTTATATTGTTTCTCAATTGCTCTGCGGGCACTTCTTCAAACTGAGCCAATTTGAGGATGTTTGACATGTAATAATATGAAGAGCTAACTCTTCTCAGGAGGGTGAATTTAGACAGATATTACTGTGAACAGCTTAAAAAAACCTTCAAGGAAGTTTATTAGACTTACCTTTTTTCATCTCCTAAGATTTTCAAGGTAAACTGGGGATTTGTTACGTGCATGTGTGTTCAAATGTAAGCAGGAAAGTACCTTTGCCAGAGGATTTTCTTTTAAACACAATTACTTATGCACACCTTTACATGTGTATATGTATGTACGTATGTTTGTGTAAATGTTGCATATACACTGTAGGAACAGAAGTTTTTATAATATTCTGTAATAAGTGACACAAGTGCACATCCAATTTTAGTTTTTTTGGTAGTCATATCTCACCAGTAGAGTTGGATTTTAAACATATCACTTTTGGATTTTTTTTTTTTTTTTTGGGGGGGGGAATAGCTTAATTCAGCATTCTTCTATGTTAATTTCTTATCTGAATTGATGAAGCGCGTCACTAAGTACCTCATTCAAATCCAGTCTCCATCATGAATTAGAAGAGTTTTAGTGCTTGATTTTAACATTGCCATAATTTATAGTACGAGAAGTGAGACTGAGAAATGGCGGGGGTTTTAAAAGAGTTTTTTTAAAATCTTTTTTTAAATATGCTGAATTCCTTCAGAGTTGTATGGGACATTGACTAGAATTTGAGTTACCTGATGTAAAAGTTTTACGAGAGCCTTCACGTGTTTGCTAAAGACTGCTG